GAAGGATACCTGAAATCTACACAGTGAGCTACAATGATACCTGAAATCTACACAGTGAGATTGAAGGGTACCTGTAATTTACACACTACACAGTGAGCTGGAAGGATTACTAAAGTATGCACAGTGAGCTTGAATGATACCTGAAAATTAGTCCAAGGAGTATCATGAGAATGAGTGAAATGATGACAATGATTGTATCACTGTGCATGAGATTGTACATCTTATTTCCAGGAGCATCATTGTAAGGATGATGGTGCCCGTAGAACTGAAACAAATAATCAAATTTTAATCTGAAATATAAAAGTCGTCTTTTTATTTTAAATCCGCGAAATTCTGGCGTGGGAAGAATCGTGTACTCTTTAAACCCCATTTTCCTCCATGTGATAACTGTAGATTAGTTGTGCCTTTATTTTCAGATGTATTATTATATTAAATTTGAAATAATTTTATAGTTTCGTTGGTTTGATAAAGTTAAAAACGAAGATTATTAAAAGTGGTTCAATGGTTCAATTCGTTTTGGTGAATAAATTTAAAACAAAATATAATAGATAACCTAGTGTAGACAGTAGACATAATAAAATTTTACTACAATTGTAACATTTGATGGTATTTTTTAAGGTCATATTTTTATGGGTCGCAAAATGCACTAATTATTTGCCTGCAAACCTGAATTCTGGGTTCCAAGAACCAGTTTACAATCATTTAGACGAAAAGTCCCAAGTGTAAACCACCCAAGTCACCCAAGAATGTCTGTTTGTGAAGTGTCACAATATTCCAGGGAATTTAGTAACGACTTTGAAATCGGCTTTTATCTACATCATTTGCAATTCTACTCTCCTCCTATTCTTGGGATTTTTAATTATGGCCGGTCTGTTTTTAATGTACCTTCAAAATTGGCGAAAATATTAAGAAACGAACCTTCACTATTATTTATAGAGAACTAATTGTCATTTATAACTTTTTTTGGAGATTATGGATATAAATAATTACAGTTATGATCGGCCATTTTTTACATAATACATTTTCATCAATTTATTATATATTATTCCCGAAACCGCAATTTGTTCACGAAATTTGTTTGAAGAAACATTCTGCAATTGACTGGAGAGATGAGCGTTTCCCCTAGATTTTTTGGCAGTCAAATAAAACATTTTTCCTAATTGACTATGTTGTTGGAATTTTCGTCCGATAGATCTAATTTAATCTGATTTCGCGATTGTTATTGCTCGAAGGGAAACTAGTCGTAATACCAAGTTGGCATTGAGAATGAAATAAGGCTCAACCAATCCTTCATATTTTCTTGGAGGGTTCATTTAAAAACTAGTAATTTACTTTGACAAAACTCAGAAAGTTTAACTGTGAACATTACAATTGAGAATAAGTGATTTAGACTCGAGATTAAGCTTTTAAATCAAGGACTCTCAGATTTTCGGCAGACTGCACAAATCAAAACAAATGCTTTGTGAGTTAGGTTGGTTCGTTTTTATCTAAATTCTGCCTGTAGTGTAAGAGGAGAAAATATATGTGGTCAAAATTGTTTATCAATCAAATATGCAAAAAATGAACGTTTTCGATCGTTTTCCCGTTTTTTAAAGGAAATTTGTAAAGTTTTAGGAAAACAAACTGGAACACATTTTGATATGAGTTTTGAAATTTTGGAAATCTTATCAAGAGAGTTTTGAGAAAACGAAGCAAAACAATTTAAAACACTTTCCACAACACACACTTTCCAAAACACACACTTTCCACAACACACACTTTCCACAACACACACTTTCCACAACACACACTTTCCACAACACACACTTTCCACAATACACACTTTCCACAACACACACTTTCCACAACACTTTCTTATTAATGTTTCTTGCCGTATTATTAATTACCTTGTTGTCAATTTCATCCGGGTGGATTAATGTTAAGTCTGCCTCCGGATCCAAATATCCGGATTCCAGATACGGATCTGGAAATCCGGATCCTTCCCCCGGGTCTGATGTATAGTTATATATATGCTCATAACGGAATCTGGGATGTATCGGGGCTGGAAGGTCGGGGTTTATATCATGGCGGATATCGGCGTGAAAATGGTCGACATCTATATCGGGATTAAGCTCGGCTGTCCAAAGGTGGGTTTCCAGATCAGGGGATGGATCGGGATTAAGGTGGTCGGGTTCTAAATCCAGGGGATCGGGAAGGATAGGGTCGGGTTTTAATTGATCCGTGGAGCCCATCTTTAAAAGAGAGATATCACCGCCGATGAAACATTTTTCTCGTCTGAAACATAAGAGAAATTCTTAAAAACACTTGAGAAGTTTTATCTTAGAATATGGTTTTTTAAAATCATGTACATCAAGTTTTGGAAAGATATATTTTTTATAAATCCTCAAATTAAAAATGCCCACAGTGGATATCGAGATCAAGTATCCATGACAAAAGTTCCCAGCTCCGAGCTGTGGGCATTTTTAATTTGAAGATCTATAAAAAATATATTTTCATTTTAGTTACTCCTCCCCTGATTAAAGCTGCCTTCAACTCTGACTAGGATTACACTGCGGGATATCAAATAAAGATTAAATTAATCTGCAGATTAACAAAAGATCGAGATCAAGCATTGACATGTTATGATCAAAATATTCCACTGTATGTATATATTATATATTTGGAGGGGGGTGGCGGCAAAAATACAAAACATAAATCTTTATAAAAAACATCTTTAATTGGAGCTTATTAATTATATTTATTTTTTATGATGAACCAACTTTTCGTAAATGTTTTAAAATTTACAGATTAAAAACGAGGGAACTGAACTCTTGTAATCAATTTTAAATCTTCGATGTTTTTAAATATGAAAATTTGAATTTTTCTAAAGTTTTCATTATTGTCACAAAAGAACTGAAAATTGAAATACAAAGAAAATGATATGACGGAATTAAAATAAAATTGAAAAAAGTAATTAAAATAATTTTGAAATAAGGAAGAATGAAGAGCAGAAATACTTGCAGATCTGATAAAAAATGTTTCACAATGACAAAGTTTTTACATTTTTATGTTTCTTAGAAGGTGTTAATTCTTCCTTGTAGAGAAATATCTATGTTTAAAACTTAAAGTTGAAATCTCTATTTGTCTGTTTGTTTGTATGTCCGATCATAACTCAGCAACCTTTTTTTTTGATTTTGAGAATAGAACCACGGGAATGTTCTTATAGCTTGGTTTATCAATTTTGTATTGAGTAGGTTGATTGAAAGGTAAAGTACATTTTAGAACTTGTTCAGAAATTTATGTAGCACAAGACATGTACATTTTAGAACTTATTCAGAACTTTATGTATCACTAGATATGTACATTTTAGAACTTGTTCAGAACTTTATGTATCACTAGACATGTACATTTTAGAACTTGTTTAGAACTTTATGTAGTACTAGACATGTACATTTTAGAACTTATTCAGAACTTTATGCAGCACTAGACATGTACATTTTATAACTTATTCAGAACTTTATGTATCACTAGACATGTACATTTTAGAACTTGTTTAGAAATTTATGTAGCACTAGACATGTACATTTTAGAACTTGTTTAGAACTTTATGTAGCACTAGACATGTACATTTTAGAACTTGTTCAGAAATTTATGTAGCACTAGACATGTACATTTTAGAACTTGTTTAGAACTTTATGTAGCACTAGACATGTACATTTTAGAACTTATTCAGAACTTTATGTAGCACTAGACATGTACATTTTATAACTTGTTTAGAACTTTATGAAGTACTAGGCATGTACATTTTAGAACTTGTTCAGAACTTTATGTAGCACTAGACATGTACATTTTAGAACTTATTTAGAACTTTATGTATCACTAGACATGTACATTTAAGAACTTGTTTAGAACTTTATGAAGTACTAGACATGTACATTTTAGAACTTGTTTAGAAATTTATGTAGCACTAGACATGTACCTTTTAGAACTTGTTCAGAACTTTATGTAGCACTAGACATGTACATTTTAGAACTTATTTAGAACTTTATGTATCACTAGACATGTACATTTTATAACTTGTTTTAGAACTTTATGAAGTACTAGACATGTACATTTTAGAACTTGTTTAGAAATTTATGTAGCACTAGACATGTACATTTTAGAACTTATTCAGAACTTTATGTAGTACTAGACATGTACATTTTAGAACTTATTCAGAAATTTATGTAGTACTAGACATGTACATTTTAGAACTTGTTTAGAACTTTATGTATCACTAGACATGTACATTTTAGAACTTGTTTAGAACTTTATGTAGCACTAGACATGTACATTTTAAACTTGTTAATAACTTAAGTTTCTGACAAATAATTGGAAAAATTAACATAGAATTTTGAGTGGGAGGTTTAAAACATTTTATTTCAGATATATTCCGCATATGCCGAGGGATTTTGGCTCCTTAAAAATCAAATTTCTTTTAATATGTTAAAGAATATGCTTTCATCTTGGGGTTAGGTTAGGTAAAGACAATTTCAAGGTCAAACGCTGTCGCTAGGAAGGGCTATGGGGCCAAGTGCTGCGGTATCTTGAATGTTAATTAATATGTTGTCTCTCTCCTTATTTTGGGTTATGTTAGGTTAAGATAATTTCTAGGCCGAGCTCTGGGGCCGAGCGCTGCAGCCTCTTAAATGCTAGATATTGAGCTGTCTCTACAGAAAAGAAAAAATTTGCCCGCTTATCACACTTTTAGAACCTAAGTCGGTTTATCATTATAAGATATATTCACCTGCTGAATATAAATAGAATGTAAAAGATATATATATATTATGATGTGTAGGACAAATGAATTTTTTTCCGCTCTGTAGGAAAAATCATGTTAAGGACAAATCATGTGAAGGACAAATCATGTGTAGGACAAATCATGTGTAGGACAAATCATGTGTAGGACAAATCATGTGAAGGACAAATCATGTGTAGGACAAATCGTGTGTAGGACAAATCATGAGTAGGACAAATCATGTGAAGGACGAATCATGTGTAGGACAAATCATGTGTAGGACAATTCATGTGTAGGACAAATCATGTGAAGGACAAATGATGTTTCTCCCGCTCTGTAGGACAAATCATGTGTAGGACAAATGATGTTTCTCCCGCTCTGTAGGACAAATCATGTGTAGGACAAATGATGTTTCTCCCGCTCTGTAGGACAAATCATGTGTAGGACAAATGATGTTTCTCCCGCTCTGTAAGACAAATCATGTGTATGACAAATGATGTTTCTCCCGCTCTGTAGGACAAATGATTGAAGGACAAATGACATAGCGCCTAAAATTCGGGTTTCTAATAAGAGAAATGTATATTTTTAAATGAAATTTATATTTTGTAAAAGAGATTTATTTTTTGTCCCCAAAGCATGATCGGGTTGTTACGATCAAATCTCGGAATTTTTCTATTGCGAAAGTTTGGTGTTAATTCATACTGAGAAGTTTCTAGCTGCTTCTTAGGCCTGAGAATAATAGAGTGCAGGAATTCTTCTGTTTAATCATAAAAATGCTTTTCACATTTCTCACTGAACTTATTTTGAAATTCATTTTCAATTTTTCGTAATTAAGAATTTGCACTGAATTAACATGCTTAACTACGAACAACGTGAAGAACTGATATCAACTGAAGGAATCCTCCATCCCCCCGCGTAATCCAGGATGGATGAATGAATAGATGAATTTACGGGATGTATGGTTCCAAACCAGGTTTCATCCACCAGAAGGGCAGGGCAGGGGGTGCAGGGACGGATCAGGGGATGGATTTTATAGATTAATACATTGTAAGTAAGGAAGGGAAGTATGAGTAAGGAAGGGAAGGATGAGTAAGTAAGGGAAGGGTGAGTAAGTAAGGGAAGGATGAGTAAGCAAGGGAAGGATGAGTAAGGAAGGGAAGGATGGGTAAGTAAGGTAAGGAAAAGATGAGTAAGGAAGGGAAGGATGAGTAAGGAAGGGAAGGATGAGTATGGAAGGAAAAGATGAGTAAGGAAGGGAAGGATGAGTATGGAAGGAAAAGGTGAGTAAGAAAGGAAAAGATGAGTAAGAAAGGGAAGGATGAGTAAGAAAGGGAATGATGAGTATGGAAGGAAAAGATGAGTAAAAATGAAAAGATGATAAGAAAGGGAAGGATGAGTATGGAAGGAAAAGATGAGTCTAATGGTAAGGCTAAAATATATTTCTATTTACACCTTCTCACAAAGACATCTCTATTAGATATTAACTTCAGTAACGGGAATTTCAGGCAAGAAAATCAATGCCAGGCCTATAAATATGTATTGTATTTGTTTACCCAGGCCCACCCCACAAACCTACCTGCACCCTCTACCCCCCTCCCTTATCTACCATACACAGTATCCACCCCTCCCTCCTCCACCTTCTCCACCCTCCTCCACCTTCCTTCACCTTACTCCACTTTTCTTCACCTTTCGCCACCAACTCCACCCCCTACTCCACCCTATATCTCTCTCTATCCTATCTGTGTGAGTTTACTAAACCAAGTGCAATGTTTCCAGGCCTCCAAATCAAACCACAAAGGGAAACCAAATCTTGAGCAATGCATCTCAAACAAGAGTAAGATTATAACAAAACATTAAGGTGTATAAATAAACATGGCATTTAGAAGACGACTTGAAACTACAGTGAAAACCAAAAAAACTTTAGAATAGGAAGACGACTTATAGATTTAAGTTTGACTTTAGTCTAATAAACATGAGACACAGACTTTGTGCAGTTTTAAACAAACCCATTAAACATGATAAGGGACATAACGTTACTAGTCAAATTGTTTGCTTTGCATCAGTTTCGAATACGCTATAGGAATATCATCTTTCTATTCCCCAGATTTATGGTTCTCTCTGTATTATCGATCGGAAATAAAAGAGAAAACTAAAAATTGATTAGTTTCTATTTTGGTTTCCCTAAAATAATCGAATGCGGATTTATTAAAGGGTAAGAGGTTGTGAATCAGATTGACATTCTTTAACTAAAAAGTAATTTAAAATTACGAAGACAGTATTTTTAGCGCGGTAAATTCTCCTTGCCTTAGTCGAATACGTATCTTCAAGGACCTAAGAGATTAAATGAATATTGATTGATTGATATGCAGGTTTAAGGTTTATTATTTAATATTTGAAACTGTTCAGTATACTGCAGTAAACATGAAACCAAAACATGCAATATCAACAAGGGGAACCCAAAAATCTCATATCTACGAAATATTCATACAAAATGGTTAGCCATCAATGCCATCACTTGCTCATGTTTCTAAAGCATTG